AGAGAGAGAGAGAGAGAGAGAGAGAGAGAGAAAGGTAGAGTGGCAGGAGAAGACGAGTATCATTATCGCCAAGTTGAGATCTGCTAAAATTTGTGCGAGTGATCTCCAGGTCCCGAGAGCAGAGTTAATAAAAAGCACCGAGTGGCAGGCACGATTTAATTTCAAGTGTCCTCCACCGACAGACAATGCGACGGATTTTCAACGCGACCTGGCTCTGGGATGAGAGGCTTTCCGAGGAGGGCGCGCCTACATGTGGGCGCCTGCGTTCGCGTGTGCGTACATGTACGTCTTGCGGGTCGTGGAGCTGTGCGTGTTTCTGTCTTTGTCTGTGTCTATGTTTGGTGGTGTCTGCAGAGAAGCGTGTGGCGAGTCCGCTGCTGTAGCGCAGTTGCAGGAAAAGGACAGGAAAGCCGGGCGCGCGCACATACTTGAATACATTTACATCCAGGCCCTATAAATATGAGATCTCCCTCCTCGAGTGCCACTTTGTGTGTCACTGTGCTAGTATATTCTGATTAGTGCAGTAAACACTCAAACGGAATGAGTGCTAAGCACAGAAAGTACAGGAGGCTCTATGTACGCCCTTTAAACGTGTGGAAGTCACACTCAAAGGCGTTGCGTGCAAAGGTTACGCCGTGCTTTGTTTCGTGCGAGTGCAGGCGACTGAAGCACGTGCACGACGGCGGGCGTACGCATTTACTCCGTTTGCGTAGGTGCGCAAGGCGGCGGGCGTCTCACTCCGGCTTCGGCTCCGTGGGAACTGCAGGGAAATGGCCTCTGTCCCAGCACGTGCGTGACACACCCCCGTCATTATTCTTACTTTAGCAACTCTTAGCGCGGTCGCTCATGGCTGTTATAAAGATTAGAGCGATAAATAAAATCCACGAACTTAGCCAGCGGGTAAACCAATGCTTGCGTGATCGCGCGGCTATTAGTGCCTACCAGAAAATGCACGAATTATCGATTGCGAATGCAAACGCGTCAAAACAGGTACTGGGCGCGCCGACAACCTTCCCATCGTGCGAAAGCGACCTCTAGGACGAACATTCCGCACTTTTGCACTAGACGAAGTCATTTTTAAAAGACCAATCCACCTACACACATTTTATACGAGATTTACGAGAACTTATATCCACGCCAAAAAGTACGACATCCTTGCAGCTCGTGACGAAGATCTGCCGTTTTCGAGTGTCTATGACGTCACAATTGTAAAATCCTTTGAGACGACGTGAAGACGAAGCTCTCGCGGAGAACACAAGAGAGCACTATTTTCTTGGTTTGATATTACGGCGCCAAAAAAGTTCATTATTGATAAATTTCGCTCTTGATTAGTGTTGCTGTTCGTTTTCTCCGACTTTATTCATACAAACCTGGAAACAATGAAAATACCATGCATCAACATCAGATAAAAAAAAAGATATTATTCTATAATGATTAAACCTAGGGTTCTTGTCCGCCCGTCTTCGATTAACCTCAGCGTGGTTGAGACCCGAATTAAACATCAAAAGACTTTTTCTCCAAGTTAGGGCGACCTTTCAATCCCTGAATGTGATATATATGTCATCGTAAGACTGTCACCGTCCACCGCTGCCACAGGCGCCTCGGACGTCCATAAATGCTTACAAATCTGTTTGTTACAATTTCCGACCATTGAAAATGTCACTTGGCCCCGGGCCGGTACCTTTCCTCCTACCCTCTACTTGTAAAGAAAAGGACATTCTAATTAGGGTACAAAAGTCAAGGGTGGGGACGGGCTGCCTAATGATCCTTAAACACAAGACAAGCAATTTTCGCAGCTCATTTATTTCAGCAATATGAAATTCGTGCGCCTCATTATTTTGTGCACTCAAGGAGGGAGCTGGATACAGGGCCTCGTGTCTTCGTTTTATATATGGTTCTTCGCTGCTATGACTCGAGTGAAGCCTTGCTTTTTACGGACGGAATTAAACATTTTATCACTCCTGGAAAATTACCTTAAGCTCTTAAACTAGATTCTTCAAGAGATCTGCCGAGAGTGAGGCCATATTTTCTAGGACCGAGCCTTTTTGGAGTGAACAAAGACGGCTTATATATAACACACTTCAACAGGTTCGTCTTCCAGAAGGGAGGCGCCCGTGACGCCGACATGGCCCGAAGGAAACGCTCGTAGCAACGTCGCTTTGAGCAGACAAGCATACGGACGGACCGACCTAAACGGTTGAAAGGACAGACAGACAAACAGAGAGAGTGTGAGAGAGAGAAAGGGGGGGGAGGTTGAAAGAGCAAGAGATAAAGAAAAACGGAAGCAGCGAGGAGAATTCTGCAGAAGAGAACCAGTCCCAGGTTTTGGTTCCAGCAGAACAAGCCTGGACAAAGAAGCTAAGTCCCTCCAGCACCTCTGGCTAAAAACCCTCGTGCCTCTGGAGTTGCGAAATTAAAACGCAGTCCTTGAGACAATTGCGAAGCGCACTCTGGCACGATCACACTTGGAGGGCCTTCAGCCTCGCCCAACAATACAATGCACATAATAGCTACAAGTGACTCA